TTATATTTTTCTTCTTACAGATAAGGCTCAATTACTTGAAATAGCCAAAGCTAATGCAGCTGCCATGTGTGCTAAGGCTGGTGTCCCTTTACCGCCAAACCTGAAGCCTGCACCTCCACCTACTATAGAAGAGAAAGTTGCTAAAAAGTCAGGAGGAGCTACTATTGAAGAACTAACGGAGGTAAGCTAGACAGAATTTGTTTCATTCTTAAATGGATTATTCCAGTGATGTTGACTCTGGAGCGTGCCAAAACCCGAATTGTGGGGAGAACTGATAATGGCTGGCACCGAGTGGCCAAAACCCGAAATACAGATGTGGCAGCGGCAGAAGCTCTGTTTAGCAGGCCATTATCCGGGATGGCTAAGCTCCGCTAGCTAAAAGTTACTTCCCATTACTTTTGCTTTCCAGTTTTAGAAGCCAAACTGACTGAGGAGTGGGACGGTTCGTTTGAATGGAGGAGGTGTTGAGTGAGCAACACGCAGAAGCTCGCCTACAGTTTCGTTTCCATTCACGACGTGTTCACTGATCGCCACGAGTATACTGCATATACGCAAAGACACAGACAATCTACAGAAATGATCTTTTGCCACCGGAGCTTGGAAATTAATAAGAATAGCTGGCCATTGCCTGAAAGGAACTTCTTTCGCATCAACATTTCGGGTTTTGGCTGTTTGGTACCAGCCATTGGCGATAATGGCCGGCCATTATCAGTTCTTCCTGCGGTTCGGGTTTTGGCAGTAACATATATATTTTAAACACACTTATTTTTGTTTTTAAAAGTTTGATCTTTTCAATTGAGGCTTTTTTGGGGCTTTGTTTTATTATTATTACTATTTTTTTGGTGTGGGTGGGATGGGGGAGACGCTGAAATATTGCTGCTAGGATCCAGAAATACCACACTGTTTCATATATTGAAACTTGTTATTGGCTAGCCTTATGCCAGCCTGCCACTGTCAATATATTCTGTTCCCCTTGGTTACAAGCTTAATATACTCTGTGTTTTTGGCGAAATGAGCTTTTTATCCTATTGTAATATTTTCAATTGATAATAGGTGTCATTAAATCAACTGCTTGTATAGAGACAGGTCTACCCAGATTTACTCTTGACCTTTTATAAAGCCAGGTAATGGAGTCTGTTCCTTTGTATCTCGGAAGGAATTGACTTTGCTTTATATATCAGACCTCATCAATTGCACCCTCTCCATTATGCCTTATTTTTCTTTCTTAAGTTCTCTTTAAACTCAACCCACAAAACATTTATGGAGAGACATGTTGCTATCTAATCCTGTCGCAAATATTTCAGATCTTTTGTTTTGCCATACGTTTGGGAAAATGTAAAGCTTCTGACTCTGTTTCCTCACTTAGATTTATTAAAATATGGATTATAACTTTTGTAAAATAATTAAGGACCTTGTAAAAGCTTCTATTGCTTACTTACCTAATTCAAGCTCCTTATCCAAAATGCTTTGGACACTTAGCATTTTCCTGTTTTTAGCCCCATCTTCAGCCTTCTTGTCCCCTCTAAGTTTCTTCTCACCCTTTTACCACCACCTGACTAGGATGACTTTTCCTTTCCCTACCAGTCTTTATTCTTCACTACGAAATTCTGGGTTACAAGTCTTCAAGGAATATTCCTTGATTCTCTTTACTCTGCCTGACTCTATTCTCTCTTAAGCCTTTGTTCTTTTAGCACTTATGTACTCAGTTTGTATTATATCAGTTTGCACTTGTTATTGTGTTGCTCTGTAAAAGCATTCAATTATTTCATGTATATGTATTCCTTCTCTTGTACTAGATTGTAAGCTCCTTGAGAGCAGGGACCATGTCGTCGTCGTCTTTTTTTTTTTTTTTTTTTGTATTCCCCAGACAGTGCCCAGTACAGTGCTCTCTCTGCACATAGTAGGTGCTCAATAAATGTTATTGACTGACCAGCCAGAGTGTGTTTAAATAGTAGTAATATTCCAAGTCACATATCTATAACCTATTCATGAATATTATTTAACTTTTGAAAGTAGCTTTTATATGGTTTTGATTCTAAGAAATTACGTGTTCTGCATAAAGCGTAAGATTTATCTTTTGTTTGTTTTTACTTTTAAAGAAATGTAAACAGATCGCACAGAGTAAAGAAGATGATGATGTAATAGTGAATAAACCTCATGTTTCGGATGAAGAGGAAGAAGAACCTCCTTTTTATCATCATCCCTTTAAACTCAGTGAACCCAAACCCATTTTTTTCAATCTAAATGTGAGTATTAGTGCTTATGGATTGGTAAAACAGTGTAACTTGTGGAATTATTTAAATGACACCAAGTGGAATTTACTTTATTAATTTTTGTTTTAAATACTGAGAGAAATAATGGACAATATAATTTCCTTCAGATTATACTATATGGAGCTTTAATTAAGAAACACTTTGTTTTTTAGATTGCTGCAGCAAAGCCAACTCCACCAAAAAGCCAGGTAACATTAACAAAAGAATTCCCTGTATCATCCGGATCTCAACATCGGAAAAAAGAAGCGGATAGTGTTTATGGAGAATGGGTTCCTGTAGAGAAAAATGGTGAAGAAAACAAAGATGATGATAATGTTTTCAGCAGCAGTTTGCCCTCTGAGGTAAGTAGGAGGAATATTATGTATTTTTCCTTTTTTATACCTGAATCTGCCATTTCATTGTTATTTTATATCTGATTTGGATTCTGTTTCACTCTTCTTAGGGCCGGGTTAAACGGCAGGGCCGGGTTAGACGACAGATGAAACAACCCGCAGCTTCTCATTTGACAGTAACTCGATGCAATTCACTTTGTGGAACCAAGCCACAAAGTGAAAAGCATCGAATTGCAGAGAACAGTGTTATCACATCCCTACCCAACATTGGGCCCTCCCTGCACTTGTGGGAAGGTAGTCCAAGGTACAACTATTTAGCTTCCCGATTTGCTTCAAGGCTCTATAGCTCTAGATTTTGGTGGTAGCAAATTTATTGGGTGGAGGGATTGAGTGGAGAGGGGCAGATCCTCAGGTTCAACACAAGAACTGGATTGGAAAAGGTCATTATAGGCTGATGTGAGCATCTTGGGTACATAGCCCATTGCCCTTAATGATGGTTTCTTACTGTTTCTCTGGGTTGTTTGTCAGATAGCATTTAGTTATTATTTTTCCTTCCCTTTGCTACCTTGGCCCTTTTAAATTCTTGTGTTTGACCTAATGCTCAGCCTTGGTACTCCATTCCCTTCTCCTTCCCCTCTTTGCTACTATTAAAAGTCGGAGAAGTGGAATTCACACCTTGAAATTTCCATGGGGCTATAGTTGTATCTTAATAATGCCAAGTGTCAAAACAACCCCATTAAAATGCCGCCTGATTAAATAATGTGCTGCTAAATATAGTGCACATGAAAACAGCAAGACTGTATATATATGTAAATATATATATATATGTATCTTTGTATGTATCTCTGTATCTGTACCTTTGCTGTATCTTTTAATAAACAGTTTACTTTTATTTAACTTGTTGTGCAAAATCACGCTTGGGGGATGTGGGAGGGTGGAGTCTTAATAGGGGGGTGGGAATTTTAAATACTATAGATTAGTTGCCATCACCTCTTGCCCTTGGTTTCCAAAGCCCAGACTTTTGTCCAAGGACTGGTCTAGATATCTGATGCCCATCCGGACAGTTCTGGGATATGTAGGTCAAGAGACACCTGTACTCTTCACTGCAGGTTCTCTTCTTTGGCTTGGCCATATCATCATCTTCCAGTAAACACTTCCAATTCTACAAATAAATCCTGTTTATAAAATCAGAAAGTGAACAGAACCCAAATCAGAAACTTTGATAGTGGTACTTTTTCCCCAAGCTATTCACAGGTGACATCTTCACTTTTTGTTTGTTTGGCCTGCAGCATTTTGAGGGAACAACTTCTATACAGTGAAGTTGGACATGGTAATTAGCCAGTATAACTTTCAGTTACTGGTGATAATCTGTATTCCCATGGGATTCAGCAAGTGAAGCAAGTTGTCCCATCACCAGTTAAGGTCGGGTGGGGCGGGGATAGTTGGTTTGGATAATACTTTAGTGAGACTGTGAATTGTTAATCCCCAAATCAGGCTACCTGCCTATCTCAAGAGAGAAAGGTTAACTGACATTTGCAGCTGACTTAATCTTCTTGTAGTAGCTGAATATAAACCATGTAAGAGGGCTGAACAGACTTACTTAGAAATCCTAATATGTATGCTTTTACTAGTTAATTTCTTGTAGAGTAAGCAGTTAACAAAGAGTTGGGAAAAAAATAGGGAGAAAGTCTGTATGACAAATATTTTCCAATGAAGTGAAGACTTAACAAATACTGCAGAATTCCAAGGGATCTTCCTGAGAAGATAAATGAGCATAACCGTTTTGAATTTCTTCAGTTCAACTATGGGGAAAGTGCTTAGAAATTCCTGATGCTTACACTTTTATTTTTTTGAGAGAGAGAGAGAGTGTGTGTGTGTGTGTGTGTGTGTGTGTATTTGAAATTTAGTACTCAGTCATTTTCAATCTTAACACTGAGTGTGGTGCCTTAGCCTTGTTTGTCATCAGAAGTTGTCAGATTTTAATTAAAGGTTGAGGATAATTATTCTTAATAAATCTGGTGGGAAAAGTTGATAGAGAAAGGTACTCAAATAATGGTGACTTCTTTTTGTTGTTGTTAAAAAAGTTTTCTTGCCAAAGAAGAATCCTAGAAGGTAAAATTAAATTATTTAACAATTATTTTCAAAGGGCTAAATGAATAAAGCAGATGATGTCTGTTTTGGGACGATATATGTAACTATTTGATATAAAACCTCTTTAAGCTACTTAGAAGATTAGACTCAAAGGAACATACAGATTAATTCTAAACAAAAGAATCCCAGCATACTAGGGCAAAGAGACAGGATTGCCTTTTTGCTTTCATATCTCTGCACTTTTACCTGGCAATAATGTTAAAACATGTAGAGGAAAGTGTCACAATTAAAAATTTATAGAAGGTAAAAGTCATGAATTTATTATTTATACAATTACAATGTTTATTATTTAGATACATACAAAATGTGAAATACTTTTGGTAACATTTTATGGGAGCATTGACCCTTTTGATTCCTTGTTAGAGTTTGAAATGAAGGCTTCTAGAGTAAAAGGAGATAGCTCTTTTAAATGGTCACCCTTTCAACTGAATAGTATCTTTTATTTTTATCTACCAGTCTTTTTCATTTTAATAAATATAAATGGAGTTTGTGGTTCTTTGTTCTTGAGCATAAAACATTTAGGCAAAGATCACAGATTTTATCTCCCTAAGAGGGCTGAATAATTAGCTTTGCTGTAATCCCTAATCCCACCAATTGTCTTGCATATGAATGCTCTTTGACATGAGTATGAATGGATAGACATTGTGGATGGAGCAGCATAAATTCATTTCTTATGGAAAAACAACTCATCAGACTGTGTGCGGTACTGCCATAGCATCGTCTTCACACTCAGACACCAGCCAGCATCATCCTCAGTAAGGAGTGACTCCAGAACTTTCACCGTATTTGTGTGAATTTGATTTATAAACAGTGAAATAAAAATGTTGGATAACTAATATTTAAAAAATAGTCCTCAGGGGCATTAATTCTTGGTAATAAAGTTAGCAAAGGTTTATTTGGTAGAAGATTAGAATGTAATCTTTGACATAAGTGGAGTAATAACTCACTCATTAGTGTAGAGTTTTCATGGGTGTAGTATCAATCAAATGTTTTAGGGGTCCAGAGGTAGTATTATTAAGGTCTAGCGAATGCTTAGATGTTAAGATCATCTTTATCTCAAGCAGTTTGCTGGTTTTTATTACCAAATCATATTTCCACATCCCAATGGAATTAAACATTCTTTAATTTATAAGCTCTAAATGTATTGGAAAACTTCTTGGAGTAAAATGAAAATTTTATTTGGAAGTTAAACACATATAGGTCCTGGCACTGCTAGAATGTGTAATACACAGCCTTGTTATTAATTCTTCTAGATTCTCCTGTGTGGTTAACGCTGAATTTCTCTGAACCATTTAGTAGGTTATCTATTTGTTTTCCCGTTGTAATTCCTTTACTCTGTTATACACTAGAGAATTTTGTATGATACAATAAAACGATTCGTAATTCACTTTTTAAAACCAACCAAACGCATAATAACTGGGATGTTCTGTGGCTTTTATTTTTGTAGTTGTCATTTTGCTGTTTTATGTATTAGCCTCTTTATATTTTAATATTTGCTAAATAGTCTAAAATCATGTTTTATATACAGACCAAATGTTTTTACTTTAGGTCTATTTTCTTAAAGTTTTCCTTTTATGTCTTTTTTTGAGATATCTATAATTACCAATATAGAAAATAATTTTCTGGTTATAGGGTATTTCCTTAGCTGACTCACCCCATCCTAACAATTATCTTTAGCTCTTTTATATCCTTTTACTTTAGTTCTAAGAAGTCTCTTAAGATACTTGTTCTTTTTATGTCGACAGTTACGTTAACAAAAGGAGTAAGTTGATTTAGAAGAATTTTCTAAATGAGAAGTAAAAATGTAAAAGGCCCACTTATATGTATAATATAGGTCATGAAATGCATGTTACATGGTGCCATTGCATTATGTAATTACATTATGCCTCAGACACCCTTGTAGGTTTTATAGTTAGTAGTTGTCTGCTTTGTTGCCGAGGGGGAGAGAGTAAAGAATTTGGGCAGTTTTTATTAACCTGAGAACTATATTTCAGGACACTTTTTATGTAAATTTCACCTTAGAGCAAAGGTGAAAAGTCAGTAAATAGTTCCCCCATTATCCTACCTAGAATATTACTACAGAATCATTTTTATACATTAGGTAACATGCTAATCTATAGTGTATTGGTAGAAACTAAGGCTTGTCGATGACAACTTGGTAATAATATTCTACAGATTTAAGCTCTTTTTCCCAGTTTTTGGAAGAGCCTTTTCCCATAATTTTTGGTGCCTTTCTTACATTTCCAGTTTCTGAATATTAAAGCATAGTTAAGATTCTTCTAAAGCTCTGTTGTCCAGCAGTTACCAGCCACTGAAAAATCAGGTTTTTAATAACACTGGTTACATTTCAAGTGTTCAGTAGTGATCACTGCAGGAAGTTTTACTGGACAGTGCTGCTCTAAAGGGTAGCTGTGGTATTATGAGTGTTTCAATACTGATAAGTAACATTGGGTCTGACCCGTATAACTTGCTGCTTTGGGGATTGTAGTTGGCTCTTCATGACTTTTTGTATAACTTGAGTTACCTTGAAAGGCTGAAAACAGGCTTTTTGATGTAAACTTTTGAGGATCCTTAAGAGGTTAAGATAATCTTGATACATTCTACTTTGAATATATGTTTTCACATGTAAAAATAAAAATATGGCTGGGTGTGGTGGCTCATGCCTATAATCCCAGAACTTTGGGAAGCCGAGGCGGGTGGATCATCTGAGGTGGGAGTTCGAGAACAGCCTGACCAACATGGAGAAATTCTGTCTCTACGGAAAGTACAAAATTAGCTGGGCGTGGTGGTGCGTGCCTGTAATCCCAGCTACTCAGGAGGCTGAGGCAGGAGAATCGCTTGAACGTGGGAGGCGGAGGTTGCAGTGAGCTGAGATCGTGCCATTGCACTCCAGCTTGGGCAGTAAGAGTGAAACTCTGTCTGAAAATAAATAAATAGATAAAAATATGAAACTAATAGTCAAATTACCAATAAATTTTTGACATGAACTTGCAGTTCCCTTGGTAAGTGTATTGAAGAATAAATGAAGTTTTATGAAACTTTATATCAAGGTTGCTATAATAAAATTCCTTTCAGAGTCATGTGAATTTAATATGCAACACTAAGATTTGAAGGGTTTCATTCTGGGGATAAATGGTGAGGCATTTATACCTGCTTAATGAAGGCTAAAAGAGTAAAACTTTTACAGGTATAATAGTTTGCTTTCCACTTGGAAAGAATTAGTTTTATTCTAGAAAAGTTATTTTTTAGATCCAGATGAATGGATTTGTAGCTAATTTATAGTTGGAAATTAGGACTCGAGAGTTAAGTGGGTAGACGCATTTTCCCCAGTTTCTTTTCAGATTTTAGCCTTTTCAGAATAAAAGCCTGTTATTTATGTCTGAGCACCCTAACACTTAGATTTATAGACTGCTAGGAAAAGCAAAGTAAATGTGAGAAGGTTAATGAGACAGTATTGAGGTGTGCCTTTGAAAATTACCTTGATAATCCTACCTGACAAATTATGTAAGGTAGGACTAGGGGACATGAATTTTTACTTGAAATATCTGCATTCCCATTTAAAGTCCCAGGAATCAAACACACTTAAAAAGTGAAAGATGAACATAGTAAGCTCCTTAGTGTTTCAGTCTCATTTTGCTTAGATTGATATTTCTAACAGGTCTTAGAAGTATTCTAAAGCTGTGTGATGATGTACTTAAATTGACAACGGAATTCACAGTCAAGAGATTCAATTTGAAAGATGCATTCTGCAGTTGTTTGACTGGTTATAGGTCTCTAGAAAGATTTATATATATAATAGTCTAATAGTTACAGAATGAATCATTTAATTTTGTTTTCATTTTAAGAAGGCATATCAGAATTCATACTTTCTTAAAACCTTGATTTAGCTAAAGGAATATTAGTTCATCATCAAGGTAACTAAGAATTATGGAGGATTAAAAAAAAAAGCATTATGGAGGATTAGGAGTTCTGAAGGTAAGAAAAGAAAGATTCGTGAATCCTTATGCATAAGAATTATTCTCATAGTCATACAGCCTTCTCTACTTAGGCTTATTCTTAAGTCTTTTATACGTGATACAGTCTTCATTACAGCTAGCCTCTACTTTTAAAGAAAATCCTTAGCCGTCAACCATTTACTGACTTTCTCATATTTGTTATATTCATGAAGTGTCTATTTATTCTTTGTATATGAAAACAGCTTCCATGTCAGATAAAGCATTTTATAAAAATGAATTTTCTTGTGTGAGATAACTGGGAAATACTAATAATGTTAAAAGAACCAAAACCAAGAAGTGAGTTTATACAAATCAATTTGAATTTTTAATTTTAGAACAAAAAAAAAAAATACCAAATACTTATCTTGTTGGGTTTTTCCTTCTGTGGTTAAACCTTCCACAAATCTGACAAATTAAGAATTGGCTCCAAAGATTACTTTTTAAAAAAAATTAGTTTCTTCTGCTTGCTGTAAGATTTTAAAAGGTAGAATATGAGCTTTGAGAAGAAAAACGTAGTACTTGAGACACTTAAAAGTGCTAAAAGCATTTCAGTTGATGTTATTATGCACTTCCTCAGAAATACTATAACTTTGGTAATAATTGTGGATAAACTGAAAACATGGTTCACTTATTTAATCCTGAATATTTTGTTTAAAGAAATTGGGTTCTTAAGACCAAAGTATCTTACAACTTCAAGATGTAAAAGATACGCTGATGAGTAAAGGAGTGATCGTAATGGTTTTCTACTTGCTTATCTTATTCAGGAATTTTGTTGCTGCTTCTGAAGGTTATGCCAATGAGTAACATGAAAACTGCTAAGGAATGTAATAACCTTTACCACCATTGAAAAAGTTTGCAGTTTACTGTAAATGGCTTTCATTCATGAAGGGTAGAGAGTTTTAAGTTCTTAACGGAACTTCCTATGATTATAGTTTGATACACATATATATAGTAGAAAATTTAGTAAATTCAGTCAGATTTTGGGTTCAGTTCTGCCGCCAGTGTGATACTTAGTAATTTATCTTAATCTTCTATTTTCCAAGATTACTTTCTCTTTTTGAGTCTTTTCCCTATTTTCCAAGATTATTAGTGTGTAAGGTTATTATTTTATTTTCAACATGTAGCAACTAAAGATATGAGTATTTTTCAGATTTAGGGGACTCTGGTAATTTGAGATAATTATCTGTGTTTTCCTTCTTAGCCTGTGGACATCTCTACAGCAATGAGTGAACGGGCACTTGCTCAGAAAAGACTCAGTGAGAATGCATTTGACCTTGAAGCCATGAGCATGTTAAATAGAGCTCAGGAAAGGGTACGTAGCAGTTTTTTGTTTTTGTTTTTTTTTTAATTTACCTTCAGGTAACTCAAATCAATGGGTACCAGTCTTAATGTCTAAATAAAAATTTTGCTAACTACATGGTTGAGAATCATTTACCTTAATTAGCTGTCTTATTTTAAATGAAGGTGGTTTGAGGCCTGATCTTTTATTCAGTAAATGTTTGTTCTTTACTATGTGGCAGGAACTGTTTTTGAGGGAAAAAAAATAGAATAATTTCCCTGCCCTCACAGAGTTTACAATCTGGTATATAAAAACAACGAAGTGCCTACAACCCTATGAAATGTATAGGTATTAATAGTTGCCATATTTCAGCTGAGAAAACTAAGTGTAAAGAATAGTTAAGGCTGGGCACGGTGGCTCATGCCTGTAATGCCAGCACTTTGGGAGGCCGAGGCAGGTGGATCATCTAAGGTCAGGAGTTTGAGACAACCCTGGCCAAAGTGGTGAAACCCCATCTCTACTAAAACTACAAAACTTAGCCAGGTGTGGTGGTGCATGCCTGTAATTCCAGCTACTCGGGAGGCTGAGTCAAGAGAATTGCTTGAACCCAGGAGGCAGAAGGTTGCAGTAAGCCGAGATGGCGCCACTGCACTCTAGCCTGGGCAACAGAGTGAGACTCCACCTCAACAACAACAACAACAGCAAAAAAGAGTGGTTAGGTGATGATACCCACGGTCACACAACTAATTAGTGGGGGAACTGGGATTCAAACCCAAACACTGTGAATCTGGAGTCTGTGCTTTTAACAATGGATAGTCTCTTCGTTTCATTTTTACTGTAAGTACATGTTCTTCAAATAGGAAATACATTGCTGACAGAGCAAGATGTTTAGTAAATCTAATTTGTGTGAATGACAGCTGATTATCACAACAAATGTTGGCAACTGATGTAGGGTACAGGCTCTTGTGAAAAGTTGTTTTGTAGCCGGGTGTGGTGGCTCATGCGTGTAATCTCAGCACTTTGGGAGGCCTAGGCAGGCGAATCACTTCAGGTCAGGAGTTTGGGACCAGCCTGACCAATGGAGAAACCCCACTCTACCAAAAAAAAAAATTAGCTTGGCATGGTAGCACACAGGCTGAGGCAGGAGAATCATTTGAACCCCAGAGGCAGAGGTTGCAGTGAGCCAACATTATGCCATTGCACTCCAGCCTGGGTAACAACAGCGGAACTCGGTCTCAAAATTAATCTCATGTAAAAAAAAGATTAAAAAAAAGAAAAAATATAAAAACAAAAGTTGTTTCATGTATTCAAGTGTACTGTTTCCTATATATACTCTTTAAACATGTGTCATGAATTTACTCTGTATTTATAATGTCTCAAAGGAAGTAATTAAGAATCCAGGCTGTCATGACATGTATTACAGTACATTTTATGAGATAGGAAGGGAGGGCGGGGACCCATTGCCATATGAGCCTTTTACATTTTTACTGTATCTATGTGATAGTTTGAAGAATGAGTATTAACAGCTGTGCTTTTTAGTAGCTATGCTTTTAGATACATTTCACAATCTTACTAGGATTTACTAAATGTTGTCAAACTGCCTTAGAAAATTTAGGCAAATATTTAATGTTAAGTGTGTATGGATTCAAATATTTAAGTCTGCTTTTCAGCCATTTTTACTTCGTGAATTAAATTATTACCAGTGACGTATTAATCAGGGAATTTTATATAGTTAACTGAGACTACTACTTTTTTTCAGATTGATGCCTGGGCTCAGCTGAACTCTATTCCTGGCCAGTTCACAGGAAGTACGGGAGTACAGGTTTTGACCCAAGAACAGTTGGCCAATACTGGTGCCCAAGCCTGGATTAAAAAGGTACACAGTATATGCACATATGAAAGTGTTGAACAAAAAGTTTAAATTTTTTGGAAACTGTTTATTAAAACTGCATGAAAAGACCAGTGACTCTAACCAAAGTTCCTGAGTAAATTTGCTATGTGTATATGCTCCAGGGTGGACACTGAAGACGGACTGGATTCATCCGAAAATGGCAAATGTATAAATATGGCTCAAGAGCCACTCATTTATACGGTTATTTAAAATATTGCTGCTGCTGCTTTTGAAAGGATGATTTTATTTAACTATATTTTGAACGATAACAGCGTATCAGGTGCTGTTCCGAATATTCCACAGTTCCTGCTGGACTACTAACCTAATCATTTCAAAGCAGTGGTTCTCAGATTTTTCTTTATCATGGGATACTTTGTTACAGGTTTATTTTTAGTGGATCACTGCCCCCAAGAGCCTTCTACCACCTTAATTTTCCATTCCTCTATTCTTTTGTCCTCACACCCCACCCCTTGCATTAGTGCTTTTGCCTTCTAAGATCTCTTGGCCCCTGTTCCTCACTCCTCTTTTGACCTGTAGCCCCAGGTCCCTTTGCTTGTCAGCTGTTGGTTACAGCCAGTGGTTGGGAGGCCCTAGTATTAGCTCTGCATGTTGTGATCTTGCCATGGGATTGGAAGGCTGAGGGAGGATGGCTGGAGTGGGGTGGGCTGTGGAGAAGGGGATGGGATGGAGATTAATCCGTGGACCACCATTTAGGCCCTAGTTGTCTCTGGTGATCCACATTCAATTTGAGAAC